TCCAAAGATTATCTTCAGAAGATTTCAGGGTTGTTTACCAAAAAGCAGAAGTGCAGAAACCCACATAGGGAGGCAGCCTGGGAATACAGGCCCAAAAAGATGTTGTAACATGGTGGAGGCCTCCGACTCCCAAGAAGAGAGTACAAGTCTCAACTCATAACTTTGCAATGCCCCTCAACCATCTGAAACCCCAATCAAAGGATGTCTCTTTTGAGCCACATGAACTGAATCTTGCTAAATCTACAATTCAGTGCCATAGCTGCACTGCTTCCTGCAATCCCTCTGATGCTGAAGAAAATGACTTGCCTATTATCTTTACTGTTAAAGCCTGGATTTCCTGTGCAGGGCAAGTCCTCATGTAAAAAAGCAGAGAAAATGCTTTAAAGAAGGAAGAGAATGTGCTCAGATTGTGAAGCAGCTGATCTAAAGGCAGCGGGACCCTTAGGGAACCCTGGGCCACAATAGTTGACATTTGAGGCAGGAAATGATGGTTTATTTAACTAACTGAACTGAAAACTGCCAGGGAATTTGTATAAGGGAAGCAGAATTAGTAAGAGCAGCATTTAGCGAAGACGGACATGAAGGCTAAAACTTCTATGATTGTGGGAAATACTAAGAGATATTTGACATCTGTAAGTGGAAGTGGCCTCTGCTTTGTAATTCATGTAAGAGACAGATCAGGTGGGCAAGGGATCCCCTGGAGGGTGTTCCTGCTTGCTCATCGACACAGCTTCTTGCTGTTTCTCCACAGTTTCCCTTCCAGCCACAGACCTGCCTTGAAGTTTCAGAGCTATAATAGTACAGTTCTGCAGCTAGGCTATTCTGCTCCCAAATATGCATGTTTTTTCAAATGCTTCAGTAAAAATACTTTTGAACACATTTGCTAGTTAAAACAGATCGTTCTGTTTAAATAATGGTGGTTTTTTTCAGAGGTTTTCTTCACTCTTCTTAGTAATATGCAGTAAACACTGGGATTTTTCATTTTCTGTGCTCGTGAACAATACCGAGGAGTTTGACTTTGCTAGAGGATCTGACTACAGACACCAAGCTGAGAGGAGAAGACCTCTCTAAGTCGGACAACTTTAGTAACAGCAATGGAAATGGAGAGAATGGAACAGCATAAAAGCATTCATTATTCATCAATTGATACCCAGGGGAAAAAAATCTGTGAGCAGTTTTTGGGATTCACAAACCAAATCTGACTTTGCCAGAGCCTGGCTGACCTCAAGGCAGAGGTCCCATAGGTGAAGGGCTTGATCTATGATTTCCTCCATCTCTGCCCAACAGGGACATTGTCCGTGGCCCAGGTTTCTCTCCTGTGTGTCCCTCCCCCTCCTCTCTCTAGCCCTGCTGAGGGCCACAGAGTCAGTGTTTCAGGACTGGAACCCATTGTCCCAGCTGCACTTGAGCCCATCTAACAGGGAAGATGGCAGGTAGCCATCCTTCTGCAGAGCAGTGACCTTAACCTCCTTCTCCAGCCCACTGGGAGAGCAGAGTTCAATGAACAACAGTTTGACTGCACTGCTGAAAGCCATGGCCTTGGGGGAACTAACTTGTTGTTGTTGTTGTTGTTGTTAGGTTTGCTTCCAGCTGAATGATTCCCGGTCAGCTTCATTGTGCAATTGTACAAATCCTGATGCCAGCACAAATATGGGGCGATGGAAAAGCCAGCGATGCAGGCAGAGCAGAGGTTTCCTCTCTCAGCAGCTGCGCTGGCTTAGGCCATCCACAAACACTTGTGAGATGCCTGCTCCAAAAAAGCCTGATGCAACCATGTTGAATGTAAAACCCTCTGAGATGATTATTCGGACCCTCCTGCAAATCTGCACAGATCCCAGCATGGGATTGCTTCTCCCTGTGCCGCACTCTGCTCAGCTGCGGCGTGCTGCATGCATTTAAAGTATTCACATGGCACTATCTGGCGGAGAGTGCTTCCAAGGGGAATGAGTCTATAACACCACATAACTTCCTGCTGAGCACCACCAAATCATCACAACCTTGGACAATCGATCAACTGATTTTCTGTTATTTATGTTGCCCTAAAGGCTACACTTCAAAACATGAAATGTATGGATTGGGAAAACTGACAACAATTCATTATGCTCAAGCTGTTTAATAATGCTGCACAGACCCTGTTTGAAAACCTTACTTTCAAGGGAGGAAATTTAACCAAATCCCGGACTAACTTCCTGCTCAGTTATGGTGAACAAAAAGTCTTCAAAGTATTTAGAATCCAATTTAAGCTAACAAGTCAAGGAAATAAGTGTTAAAACTCAAACTGCTGCTTGATGCTCTATAGTTCATCCAGTGGTAGAGACAGATTCTTGCCTACTATAAATGGGTATAAATCCACTTAAGCCATGTAAGAATGTTGATTTGTGCTTGCTACAAATCTGACCTTGATTTCAGTATTTCATGGTAAGTGCCAATCCTCTTTGCACTGCTCATTTATTGGAATGGAATTAGATTTACCAAGGTGTGTTCTGACAAAATTGATTGATTTTCCCTTAAATTTTTGTGCCAGGGATAAAATGGCAATCTGTTTCAATGGAGAACTGTTAATAAGATAGTTTTGGTAAGGAAAGTCAGAAGTGATAGTATAATTCATTACAATGCCACATGTTTTTTTTTCTCAAAGTTACATTAAATCAGTACAATATGCCTCAGAAATTAAAACCTCCTTCTAGGAAATCTGAAATAAATTTGGAGAATGGAGGTTGAAATAAGTTTAGCTAACAATCAACTGCATAAAATCTTAAGTATATGAAGCCAAATTATTTGCTGAGAGTGTAGTGGAATGAATATACCCTCACATTTACTTAACTGAACCTACATTGCTCCAAATGGCTTTATGTTCTTTATTTCCGAGCCTGCAATCCCTGCACTGAGGCTCAGCACACTGCACAAAGACAGATTTACCAGAAGATGATAATCAAGAACTTACTTTATTTTAAATAAAACACTCTCAAATGTTGACTATGCTAACTGCATGGTAAATACAGTTTATCACTGCAAAGAACCATGCTGAGAAAATTGCATGTGAGATTACACTACCACGAAGTGCTCAATATGGAGCTCATGTAGGAGGCAGCAGCCTGTTCACTAAATTCTGTTTCACATGGGTAACATCTTACACTGCTGTTTTCAGTCTGCGCTAGCTTTTGATTAGCTTCCTGATGATGATTGAAGTGTTAGTTTGCATCAAATTGTTTACAACCTGGCCACTAGGTAAAGACTTCTCCTCTAACGTGACGGTACACTCGTAGGGATTTGACATAGAAACATTAATCTTGGTATGAATGAGGTAGGAATGGCAATGTGCAAGTGTGAAATCATCAAGAAACAGCAAGAAGGGGCAAAAGAATGGCATGTGCAGCTTCTGAAGGCATCGGGGTCTGGAAAACCAAGGGCTGCCTCCTGGGTGGATCTCAGACCTATGTTGGAGGCAGTTTCTCTCCAGCCCTGACTCCTAGATCTATACTGGAGCTAGCTTGGCTCTAGCCATGTCTCCTAGGTGGACCCTGGACCTATGCTGCAGCTTTGACTCCAGCCCCATCTCCTGGGTGGACTGCAGACCTCCGTTGCAGCCTTGTTTCGAGCCTTGTCTCTGGTCCCATCTCCTGCAGTTACTCCTGGACAGCCCTTGGACCTGACTCATTAGCTGTTTGGGACCACTGATGGACCCTGTTATCAGTCCCCAGGTCCGCAGGCCTTGTTTAGGGACTGCACCCAGTGGGTGAAGGCACTGTCTGTGCTGGGTCACCCTCAGTGCCTGGCTTGCACCACAGAGTCCTGTCCAGGCAACATGGCCACGCACATTTCCTTTCCTCATACACATGAAAGAAGGAGTGAGAACAGTCTGTGAGCAAAAGAATGCGTGAAATCAGTTTAAAATAGAATAAACTTCCCCTTCTATGTGGTTTTGCACTGAACTTTGCTACATTAGCCAAACATAAGTGAAGGAGATACTCAGGATAACATGGATCTGATAGAGAGGTGCTGGATTTTTCGTGCCCTTGATTCTGGAGTTTGTTCCCTGATAACATGCAAAAGAGATTTGATTTGTTAATCTTGGAGGGTAGGGGGTACTTGATAATCTGGGCATGAGTTTCTTCAAGGCAGAGAGAGGATGAGATGAAGAGGTGCAATAGGTAGAGGAGCAGAGTTTCAAGAAACAGTTCATTTTCGGTTGCTTGAAATTGGCAGATCATGATATTGTTTTTATTTTCATGTGTAATATAGTAGAGATCTGTAATAACAGCTAGGAGCCTAACTTTCAGAAATGCCCTAGCCCCAAAAAACGAAGTAGATCTTCAAATCAGGCTCTCAGCACTGTTTGGGAAATAAATCCAAATATTTCTCTCAATGTTTGAAAAGAAGATGGTTTGGCTCCAGAGCAATATGAGAAAATGTACAATCCATTTGATCTGCTTCAGATGCCACAACCATCTGCAACTGCATGTGGCAAACACACATTTCTCAGCTTCGCAAGCACGTATGATTATGAAGAGCTTTGAATACTTTCAGTAAAATAGATAAACCTTTGGTCTGCTCTTTTTGTTGTTTAGTTATCTCTCGGCAGCATTCTGCGGAGAGATCTCCTCCTGGAAGGCTTGGGGTGGGGGGACAGGGGACAGACAGGACAGGGTGGGACACACACAGCATGCGGAGCCCTTCAGCGCAGAAGACATTGTGTACAGAAGCGCCCGAGAAGCGGCCAACGTGAGGAACAACGGCTGGCCCCAGGAGGGGGGGCCAGAACCGTGTCTGAAGGTGCGGTGGTGCGGCAGCTCCGCAGAGCGCAGCCACGGCGGCCCCGGGGCACGGCTGCCATCTGCCACCGGGCACCCACACCACGACAGGGCTGGGGCTGTCTGTCTGTCCATCCGTCCGTCCGTCCGTCCGTCCGTCCGTCCCCGCGCCTTCATTTCTGCGCTGCAGCTTTGCCATTTCGAGCGCTGCTCGAAGTACTTAGCTCTTATTTGTTTCTTTGCTTCCAGGTAGGAGGAGACACGTCCCGTCTCTGGCCACGTGAGCTGCATGCGGTGACACCACGCCACGTCCCCTGGGGATGCCACCGGCCCTGGGATGTGGGGACGGCGGGGGCGGCCTACACAAAGGAACCATGCAGCCAGCACGTACGCCTATAGCTCTGTATGTACATGCCTGCGCTCACAGCTGCCCAGTAGTGCTATAACTATTGCTTTATAGGCACCTGAAATACTGTTTTCTCAGAGTTTATATTCAGTGCAAATATTTGGTCTCTTTGTTGGGAGCTTGGATGAAATGCAGACGGGTTTCTTGCTTGCCAGTACCGAGTGATGGATCTGGTGGAAACAGCTTGCTGAACAGGGGCAGCTGTCTCTCAGGCCAGGTTTTCTTATCTGGGATGCTCTCCCCAGGGGCTCATGTTTCTGCAGCGATCTAAATCAGCCTAATGCCATCATGGAGGAAAGCTCTTATTGCTTTGCAGTCTGTCTTACCTGTGTTGTTTGCTTTCCTATTAACTCTGTAATATCTGGGCACTATGGCTGCTGTTCAGTGTTTAAATACTGGGTTTTCCATGTTTACTGTGATGGTGATTTTTTTCATTGCCATCTTTTTGGCAACTTTGGTGTCGTGGTTTAAAGCCGGCTGGCAGCCAAACACCATACAGATGCTCACTCGCTCACCTTCCCCCACCTGGGGATGGGAGAGAGAATTGGAGGGATAAAGGTGAAGAGACTAGTAGGTAGAGATAAAAACAGTTTAATAAATGAAATAAAATTTAAAAAATTAAAAAATAGAAATAATAGGAAGTACAAACAGGTAATGCACAAAGTGATTGCTCACCACCTGCTGACTGATACCCAGCCTGTTCCTGGCCAGCGATCCCAAAATACCAAGATCCTGCAATAGCAATCCCAGGGGTGGGAGAAAACCCTGCCTTTCCCAGCCACCCCTCCTTTACATACTGAGCATGATGTTACATGGTATGGAATATTTCACTGCCCAGTTTGGGTCCTGTGCTCTGGCTGTGCTCCCTCTCAGCTTCTTGTGCACCTGCACACAGACAGGACACGGGGAGTTGGAGAGTCCTTGATCTCTCAGCAACACCTGGAAACATCAATGTATTATCAGCGTTCTTCTCATAAAAATCCCATACTGAATCCAAAGCACAGCACCATCCTAGCTGCTAAGAAAAATTTACTCGATCCCAGCTGAAACCAGGACATTTGGAAAGGAGGTTATTCTTATAAAACAATCCTTTCTTTGCATCTTATTTTTATAATTCTTACAAATACACTGTTTCCTTAAATAGTTTGACCTACTGTCTATATATCCTTATACCACATATTATAGAGAGGGTTTTTGTCTATTTCCCATACACTTACCTTTTTGGATTTTTGATACATTTAAGCAACAAACACTTTCAAGATACTTTAGCTAACTAAACTATTGAATAGACTAAACAACTAAATTAAATGTTTGTTGGGTTTTTTTTTTTCCATTCTTAATCTTCTGTCTTCTCTGGCAAAGAAAACACTGCAAATACAACTATTCCACCAGCTGCTGTTACTCAGTATCATTGTCCTCACTTTCTGGCAGGCTTACTTTTTGTTCACGTGGGGTTTTTTTCAACAAGATGTTAGCATTTTCATCAGTGGTGTCCTGATTTGACAGGTGGTCCAAAGGGCCCAGTTCTTCACCCTTGTAGTACAGTTCTTCCATTGGCTTTAGGTTATACTGAACACTCACGGGCAGTTACAGAGTGCTACATGGCTGACTGCTTGGTGGGGTGCAACTGTAGTTGTTTGCACTTATCTCTGGAACGGAAAGTATCATAGCTGTTGTTTAAAGCATGACATTAAAAATTGTCCTGAAAAACCCAAGACACTTACCTGAAATCAATTTTAAAGACTAGAGAATTTTTGTTTCTTGTCATTTTACGTTTGTTTCTGTCCCCAGTGCACAGCAATATAAAACTGATATTTTGTGATTGCTCTGGATTTGAAATATATGCATTTTAGATGACTGATAATTTTCAATCATGTACAGAGGAATTCACATTCTCTGAGCTTAGTTTGTCTAGCTTGCATTCCTGAGTTAGGATGATGTACCCATTCCACGACCAGCTCAGCCATTAAACAATGAGAAATCAGTATCGGTGAGATTACATTGTCTAGAATAAATCATGTCAAACAAGCTCATTTCCAGCTCTGATTAGGTTACTGCTCCTGTGTATAGCAGAAAAGCCACAGGTGCCAGATACCTTGGTTTTAGAAAGACTTCTAACATGGTCTCACATGACCACCCATCTCACAAGCAAGTCTAGAAAAACATGAATGCATGAGTACACAACTGGACTCACAGAATATTTAGGAAGAGTAAGTTGTTAACTTGGCTGGATGCATCAGGCAGAGTTCTGCAGGAGTATCTCCTTAGCACTAATCTGATATTTTCATTGAATATATTTGGATGGCAGAAGAGACCACTTACTTACCAAACCCACTGTCTGTGAGGGGCAGGAAGGGTTGGAGCATAGGGCTAGGATCTCAATGAACTTGGCAAATTACAGTCAGGAGAAAGAATATGCTTCGAAGGACATGCATTCACACTCTGCAGAATTACCAACATCACAAATGCAGACTGTGGAATTCCTAGACTGATAGTATCACTGTGTAAACAGACTTGGTGGTTAGCGTGGATCACAAACCAAACAGGAGTCAGCCTCGCCACTACAAAAAAAAACAAATGGCACCAGGGGCTATATAAAAAGGAATATTGTTTCCCAGGCAAATGAAGATATTCTCTGTTATGCTTGGGGCTAGTAAACCTTCAGTTGGAGTATTGTATTCTGCTTCAGCTAGAACAGAGAATTAGAGGTTTTATGAGGAAACATTGGAGGAATTGAAGAGGTTTGTCCTAGAGAAAAGGGAGACCTGGTAGGGTGGCCCTAAATATGTGAACTGTATTTCTAAGAGAGAGGGCAATAAACTTCTCTCACCTGCTGAAAAAGATGAGTAGGCAAAAGAGATCTGGGTTAGATGTTAGAAACAATTTTTTCATGGTGCAGATAAAACAAGAAGAGAGATTACTATGGGGTACGACGGCCATGGTTTTGACTTTTCAAGTGCAGACTGGAGAAGTATCTGTCAGAAATTACCTAAATATAATCGATCCTGTTTTTTGGGTGGGCAAAAGGAGACAATGCCCATCCCTGTTTTTCTAATATTCCTTTTTGGAGCCAAAGGTCATAATGTAGACATCTGAGTTACATGTCTAAATTATACATTGTCAATACCAGCTGATTATCATCCCAAGACTCTTGCTTTCCATTTCTATTTAATATATCATTAGGAAAAAAAATCCCAGTGATCAATAATTCAAATCAGAAGCAGCTATAATGTAGGCTTGCACCATGCTATGCAAACTTGATCTATTCAAACCCGTGTTTTCCAAGTCCCAGGCTTCTTTTGAGCTCATACTGCCAGCTCTGCTAATGTCCAAACGGCTGATGGTCTAGATACTTGTCTGTTGGACATTAGGATGATTCCGTTCATTTAATAAAGGCCATATTGGAAGACCCATTTAACTTACTGCAGAAAGGATGCTGGACAAAAAGGGGAAAGGAAAACTCATGCAAATATTATTCAGAAAATGCTAAAACTCAGGCTCTGAACAGCCTTTGATATTTGACCTCTGCAGATGGCCTGTAATTAAGACTCTAATCCTTTAAACACTTAAACACACTTCACTTAAAGTTAACAGGATTAATCCCGTGCCTGAAGTGTGCATGGCTGGGGCAAAAAACTGTTATTGAGTACAGCTGATTAAAAACTTGCAAAAAAGACACTTTCTGGTAGAATATTGTCTCACATTTTCTAAGTGTTTTCTAAACAGTTCTAGTCCTAAGTAATTTCCTAATGTGAAGATATTTAATAAAACTTAACCAAGTTATTGCTTAAAAAGTTATACACAAAAAGCATAAATTGAGATGTACTTTTTTGGAGGCAGAAATTGAAGGTTCTCGGGAGCTGTGAGAAGTTATTTTTGTTTTCTGGAAGATGTAGGTTTATATTCACTGACTTTTACAATTTTTTCAAAGTAACTTTGAGATTAAACATGCACGGAATCAGACAGATCAGAGGAAGAAACATTTTCTATCTTGTTTTTTATTTAACAGAAATATCAGTTTGGCTTAAAAGCACAAGTGTTGTTTCCTCTTCTGTGCCTGACAGACTAGCTGTACTTGGGAATCCTGGCAAGCCTCATCTGGATCAGTTCATCACATTGTAAACGTGTGCAAAGATAAAGAAGAGTGAGCAGAGTTTGGGGAGAGATTTAAGATACAGATAGGACAGGGCTGTAGGCACACGCAGCACAGAAGTTCCCATGTGTAGTTACACATCTGCCAGAAAAAGAGACAGGACCACATCAAGGCATTGCGCTGACGTGTAACACGTGCCAGATGTGGGTTTCAGTGCCACGGGTGCAACCCAGGAATCCTGACACAGCCCAGCGTCGCTCGCTACTGCCCTATGAAATGCCTGCAGCAAACATTTACACAGTGCTATTATTTCTCTCGTTGGCCCTAACACAGATGCAAATCCCCTCTGCTGAAGCACATGCGATACCACAGTATTATCATATACAAGAAAAGGTGACGACTGTGGTTAAAGGTTTCCAAAGCGGCATGCAACAAACAACTGCAACGCCATCCCCTGGCCTGGTTGTAGCACCTCTTTTAGATGCAGGGAGGGGTTTTCTCCACTCATCTCTAGGATTGCAGTCAGCAGAATGAAGACTGCATTTAGCCAAGTACTCCTGCCAAGTCTAACGCGGACCAAAGTAAGCAACCATAAAAGCCAAAGAGCAACAATCATCACTCTCTCAATACTGTTGCTGTCATACAGGAATCTGAGTCATACTGAAAGGTCTCTCAAGGAAGGGCACAGTGGAGATACAAGAAATTCAGGACGGAGTAGGGAAATTCTGATTAAAGAAGCACCACAGGAGTGATGGGGTGGCAGATAAGAATACCAGAAAATGGCACCCTATCCTTCTTGACAGTACCACAGGGGGTAACAGAACGACAAAAGCGAGAGAAAAACTGGTGAACCACATACTGCCTGTGAAGAGAGACTGAGTAGAAAGTCTTAAAATGTAAAAAT